AAAAAAAAGACACGCCAAAATAAGCCCAAGCCCAAAACTCTGCTTGGAGAGTAAAAACATCCAGGGAAATGTGGTCATTAACCCATTATTAACCCCCTGTACACGACCGGTGGGATACGGTTGACTTACAAACAGACACGGATACTTGGAAATCGGTCTGTGTTCAATATTCACGGACGTTTCCCATAACATCGCCGGTAACAACCGTCCTGACAACGGGTACACAGCGTGGCCGAGGTGACGTCAACAACCCGGGGTGTCGGTTTACTTACATGCCCGTAGCCAGGATTTTGAATGGGGGAGGGGGGGCTTCCTACTGCCCGAGGGACCAGTGAGCGCCGCAGGCGCGAGGTTCCTAGGGGTCCGGGGGCATGCTCACCCAGAAAATTTTGAAAATTGAACGCGTTCTGAAATGGCATTTTCTGCGTTTTTTGAAAGGATTTCAAGGGAAAAATCAGAAATCAAAATATTTTTTATGACAAAGTGAGCAGTTTTTCCAGCCCCACTCGTGATACGAATCAGTCCATCTTTCAAACTTAAGAGAAAAATCTCGGATCCGGACCTTTAGGTAAAAAGTGGACCTTTGAGCCTTGTGGTGGCTACGGACATTATGTTCTATATCACACGGGACGTTCAATCTGTTGTTCGTCAAAGTGTGTCACGTCGTCTGGACTATCTCTGGACATTTAGATTATAATTATAAGTGACGTTTTTCTCCTCGTCTTCCTAGAAGAAAAGCTGCAGACAAACCGTTTTTTTTTTTGCTTTCTCCAATGAAAAAGGCCAAGACGGTACAATGTAGGCCATATTCAGGTAAGAAATATTATTAGAATGACACTAACACTACTAATTATATAAGCTGGTAGCACTATTACTGTTCATATCATATTCAAGAATCATTTCGAACACTTCAAGGCAATTATTTCGAAGCCATTCATTTGACGAAAGTAGTCTCTGCAGCATCTGATAAGTACCTTATGCTAGCCGTTCAGTCAGAGACTACCCTAAAGATGTCCATGTTTGTCAGACACGTGAGTAAGAAGCACGTGTCTCAGAGCCCCAAGATGTGCGGCGGACTGAGTGAAAAACAAAGCCCTTCATCTAAACACAAGGACGCTCAACGTTCTTAACAACCTTCAGATGTACCTAAGATAACTAGTTATTATATATATATATAGCCTTTAGTAACATAGGTTGGTATGTACTCTGCGGTGGCTAGTTATATCTAATAGCACATCCCCATACACATGTAACTTCAAACTGTTATGTTATTTGAAAAAACATCCATACAAGTACTAGAAAATCGAGTTTTGAGTTAAAAAGATCGACTTTCTTTGAATTGCAGTGATTTTTTTTAGTGTGCGCCTTCCTTCTACCAGTAAATTCCACACTCATATCATACAGGTGTATACCAGGCCGTTTTCAATACATTGTATATTCTATGGCCCCATTTTCACTAGGATAAATTTGTCCGGATCTAGCCGAACTGATTCGCTTTGATCCGGCTTCGATCCAGCTCCAAGCCGGATCAAAGTGAATTTATTTGGCTCGATCCGGACAATTCTATTGAGAATGGGGCCTAAGTGCCTCGTGAGTCGATTTACAATTATACACGTATGAGAGACATACTGTGTTGTTAGGCATATACTAGTATGCAAGCCTCGGGCATCTTTAGCCATTTAATTTGGAAACTCGCCTTTTCAGATCGTTGTCGTGCGTCACCGCCGGTACCTTCAGACGGTTCGTCCATATTTTGAACTCCACACACTTTGATGTATAAAGAAACGTCCCACTACTTAGAAAACTACAATTCAAAACATCTCCCATGATTTTGAGAGAATGTTTGAAAAGTTAGACGTATCGTACTGAGCTGTGCTTCTGTCGACAATCACAGACATGCCACTGAAACCTCTGATCTTTCTTAGGACGCTTTTGTTACTATAAACTCAATAGTGACTGCTGCGTTTTGAAAGAAAAGTTTTTTTTTAGTGAATCCAGCCGAAGCCTACAGCGATAAACAGTTTTGAGGATACTTCAGAAGAGTTTTTTACCGCTATCTTGTTGTTTGAGTGGGTGAAGGCTCTTCGCTTCTAAGTTGTGTTCGCTTGAAGTGACATGGAGAAAGACATGTGATAGAAGCCAGCTTGTTTACCACTGATAGATCGAAATTTGGCCCTCGCCCGACATGGCTACTCGGAAAGGGTTGCAGTGCTTAGGCCACACCAAGTAAATTTTATGGATGACGTCCTTTGGAGACCCTAAATCTAATGCGAGAGGGCGAAAAAAAAACAAGAAGGGCCCTAAAAAACAAGATGCCTAGATTAGAAATATACTAAGAGACGACAAATGTTAGGACACAAATTGAATGAGGTGACACAGTGTAACAAGGTCTTTTATTCATCATCAAAACAGCAATAAATCAGGTGGAACAGCAGTTGTCGTCCTGTGCTTTGGGGAGATAGATGGAGCGGTCAGCAAGTTTCTTCAAATGTGGCAGCATGTACCAAACTGAATTCCTAATGGAAGTCATGATTTCCTTGCTTGATGCTTCATAAGCTTTGGTCCGTACAAACCTATTTGCGGCACTGTCGTGACTCTTTGGTCATAGTTACAGGAAGCGGAATTTCTTTTTTTTAGAAGCAGGCCAAAATGAATGCGCGCGCGGACGTAATCCTTAAAATTTACTTGGTGTGGCCTCACATGTAGAACGGGGCCTTAAGGTTACACCAATTTAATCAATTGGTTCACGGATTTGCCAGCTTCATTTTTTTCTGGTTTGCAAATGCTGACATTTTGAACCCCAACAGTTAGAGAAAGTCCTTTTCTTCCTAATTGATACAGTTTTCGTACAGTGTCAATTCTGTGGTTTAATTAAAGTTTTTTTTCTAAAACAAAACGAGAACGAATAAATCAAATTGATTCGGCCTAAGCCATGGTTCATTGTGCTTGTTGAAAACAGCTAGTTATAGTTATAGCTAAAATACAACGAACCTGTATAAAATGAATCTGTATAAAATGACCCTGTTCGCATTGTAAATATTGTCCGTCTAGACGTCTTAAAGTTTGTCTGCCACGAAAATGCGGAATATTAGCTCTTAAGTCACTTGAGGCAGTCTTATAATCAGTTTTCCCACCGTCATTTCAGGATTGATAGAGTTTTACAGAATCATTATCTAGATTCTCTCTGAAGTATAATACAATCGCTATCAAATACGCCACTGATATGAATGCGTTTTGGAGATGAAAGAGATTTAGCCTAAGGGAGTAGGAGAAGCAATCAAGGCATGAAATAATCAGAAATGTAGTAATCAAAGTACGTTAGTGCTTATAGTGTGAACTGAAGATGGGCAAGACACGATTATCCATCAATCAATCAACCGCAGGCATCAGTAGAGATGCACAGCGGCTGTAGACATGTCCCTCCAGGATGTAAATCAAAGTATAGATCGTAAATCAAAGTATAGACGCTACGGGGCTTCTTTGTAATTTTCTGTTATCCTTTGTTCTTATGTTGCAGCAACTGCAAGAAAGTTCATTGCTCTCTCGAGGGACAGTGCATACTATAGTAGTACAACCAGAAAAAGGTCAAGTAAAAAGAGTGAGGCGTCGCAAGGTTACTCCTCCCTTACATAACATGTCCCATTGTTGCATCCTCGAGCTCTCTCTCTTTCTGTCTGTCTCTCTCTCTTTCTGTCTGTCTTTCTCTCTCTCTCTCTCTCTGTCTCTGTGTGTCTGTGTCTGTCTCTCTGTCTCTCTCTCTCTCTGTCTGTCTTACTGTCTGTCTGTCTCTGTCTGTCTCTGTCTGTCTCTCTCTGTCTCTTTCTGTCTGTCTCTCTGTGTCTGTGTGTGTCTCCCTCTGTGTGTCTGTCTCTCTGTGTCTCTGTCTCTCTCTCTCTCTCTGTCTCTGTCTCTCTCTCTCTGTGTCTGTGTGTGTCTCTCTCTCTGCCTCCGTTTCTCTCTCTCTCTCTCTCTCTCCGATTCCTTACATGATCATTCACTGCGGCCATACTGCATTGCATATTGCATCAAAATACATTTTGTTCGTACGGTCCTAGCTCTGAACACAAATATTGTTTAGTATATACATACGAAACGATAGCTTTAACCTTGTATAGGACTGAAGCATTACACTATATACTAGTATATATATATATGGAGGCTAACCCACACTCACAAGCTCTTCACTCACACAAGAACGGCTCTTGTACACAATACGTTGTAAATGAAAGGAAATCTGTTTATTACAATCTGAGGGACGATTCAGACACTTGACATAACTTGACTGTATTCCTTTTATAATCAAAATTGACATAAATTTGACATAAACTTGGCTACCGATATCTATCTGTAAAAACATTATCTTTAGCGATTACAGACACATTACAAACTTCTTTAAACAATAAAAAACATCAATCATCCTTTTAATATAGAAATGAATCATACCAGCCTGTTGATATGGCAGAAGGAAAAAGACAATATATTTTTTTTATTTCCACTGTTTATTCAAATCATGGAGACAAGTACAAGTACAAGTACATATATATATATACAACCTACTTTTAACAAAAGCTTTTACAGCCATATCCCCAAACTACACGGACCAATCACAAAGACAGACACTAAAAATGATGTCTAAGTCACTCAGACACAACAGGTCTTTAGACTGCCACAGATATCACAGATGAAGTTTCTTGACATTGTTGTAGAATAAAGCTTAAATCTCCATGTACAATAAAGGTTTGTTTAATTCATACCCTATTAAACCCCATGTAAAATACTCATAATGGAAAAAGACAATATATAGAATATCAACAATTCAACGGTGAAACAGAATTCTGTAAAAGCTTATCGTTATCACAAACCCCCTCACCTACTTGTAGTGTTCTACACGGCGGTTTCAAAAGACCAGACAACACCTGACGAATATGGAACTGTTCCAGCAGTTTTTTCCTCGCACTTTTCTTCCATGAAGAAGACGGGAGTTTCCAGTCGGCGGCGGCGGGCGACGGTGACTCTCTTGTCGGTGCGGTACGTCCGATCCGCGGGGCGCGGGTTGAGGCGCAGCGCGGCACGAAAACTCCCGCGGAACTTCTGGCTCATGAAGACGTAGAGGATGGGGTTGACACAACTGTTGACGTGGGCCATGGCCAGGGTGATGTGGAACAGCACCAACACCGCCGGCGTGGGGCGCAGGGCAGTGGTCAAGCTGACCAGCTGGCAGGCGTGAAACGGCAGCCAGCAGACCACGAACGTCACGACCATCGCGCTGACCGTTTTGACCACTTTCGTCCGCATCTTGACGGAGTGCTTGGCCACCGCGGCGTGGGCGGACGTGTTGCGCCTGAGATGCCGGACCACCAGCAGGTACGACCCGCTGATCACCGACACCGGGACGACGAACCCGATCACGAAGGTGTAAGACGTGAACGCCTTGTGCCAGGACATGGTCTCACCGTCCGGCCAGTTCAGCGCACAGGCGTAGTGTCCGTCTACCATCATGATCGTATCGCTGACCGCCATGACGGGGATGGTCAGCAGGGAGGCCACAACCCACACGGACAGGCTGACCGCGGTGACCACCTTCCGTTGGCGGAGCTGGGGGTGGCTAGCGGAGCAGACGATGGTCAGGTACCGGTCCACGCTCAACACGGCCAGGTTAAACACGCTACTGAACATGTTCAGCGCGTCCAGAGACAGGACGATCTTACACATGGCTTTCCCGAACACCCACCGGCCCATGGCGGACGACGCTGAGGTGAACGGCACCCCGAGCATGAAGAGCGCGTCTGCCAGAGCCAGGTTCAGGATGTAGTAGTGTGTAGCGTCCTTCGTCCTGGAGTGGCACAGCAACATGTAGATGACCAACATGTTCCCCAGCAGGCCTACCACAGTCATCGTTCCGTACACCGCCGGAGCGATGACCATGATTTTTGCGAGGACGTCCGGGGCGAGGGCCAGAGCTTGCGGGCCGTACGCGCCATCCGTGCCGTTCAGGGCGCTCCAATTCCCCGTCAACACGTCCATAGTGGCGTATGTAGCAGTTAGCAAAAGTCACTCGACGCTTTTTACATACAGAAACTATGACAGAGTTAGTTAGCCACGTTAAATCTCAGACATATGTCCAGAAACAGCGTTGTCCGTTCCAGATAGACTGCTCAGAATTGCTTCTTGACAGATCGGATTGCTGTGAGCTTCAATTTTCTGTCCACCGAATTACAGAAGATCTAGAGCTATAGATAATGACATATATGAGGCGTTGGTGTCGACTGCCGACGTGCAATAAGAAGCTTTTCTATTGGACCATTCTTTGATATGATAAGAAGTGGTTTGCAGTCTTTACGCGAATTAGAGGGAAGAGGCCTCTGAGATGGTTCAGGCCGCATTGTTGTGAACTTACATAAGATGTACGCAGCACTTTGAAGGCACCCAAAGTGAGTTCAGGAGAGTAAAAGTGGGATTTCAAAGTCGATTTAAGGTCACTTCTTTAATGCAGTAAGTATGTTGACTCATCCCTGTCCACTAGCATATCTAAGAGGCATAAATGCGATGTTGCTGAGGGAATACGGTAGCTGGGTCTACGTATTTATTGGTGTGGCCACACGAAGTAAATTTTATGGATGACGTCCTTTGGAGACCCTAAATCAAATGCGAGAGGGCGAAAAAAAAACAAGAGGGTCCCTAAAAAAACAAGATGCCTAGATCATATACTAGAAATATACTAAGAGACGACACATGTTAGGACACAAATTGAATGAGGTGACACAGTGTAACAAGCAAGAAGTCTTATATTCATCATCAAAACAGCAATAAATCAGGTGGGACAGCAGTTGTCGTCCTGTCCTGTTTTCGCGTTACGGGTTTCACGTAAATCTTACGATTTGCGGCACTGTCGTGACTCTTTGGTCATAGTTACAGGAAGCGGAATTTCTTGGGGGGTTTTTTCTAGGAACGGGCCAAAATCAATGCGCGCGTGGACGTCATCCATAAAATTTACTTGGTGTGGCCTGTTAGTAAAAAAAATGAAGGGATTTTGGTGGTGTGTCCAGAAATGGTTTAACCAAAACACAGGACTCTTATCTAATATCGATACTGCGATGAACATCCTGTTGGGGGATCATAGAGAAGCAGTGCCAAATATATATAATCTCATGATATCACTAGGTAAAGTCTACATTTTCTAAAACCGTCAGTCCTCAATTATTTCTCTGTATAAATTTGTTTCCTTTGTCAACCATTTCAGATCCATAAAGGAAAATATTACACGAAAAGAAAATAATTTAATCAGTCACTACAGAAAATGGAGGGAGATCTCAGTTACATTGACTGGATAATATGTAATTCAGTGTTTGTGTACTCTTATGTTACTGTTGTCTGTTTATTTCTGTTTTGTCGGATAAAGTTTTTAGAAAATAAATAAAAAATAAAAAAGGACTTCTCACGAAGCTTCTTTTGAGGCTGTTTTAAAAGCTTCAGGTATGAAATGATGACGAAAATGTGCGAAGATATGACAGTAAGTGTCAATAAAAGACAGATGTCCTCATCCAGAATATTTTTGTTTTGCAATACAAGCTGAAAACCCTGCTTCGAAGAAAAACACTGCATAACTCCTTCGCCTTACACTCACCGGTAAATTTTATGGATGACATCCTCCTCAGACGTCCAATTTAATGCGGTAGGGCGAAGAAAAAAAATAAGGCGGATGAAAAAAAAAACAAGATCCTACATTTTCAAATTTTGAGATTATTCACCAATTTCACACTTCCCATAATGCCTTGTAAAAGTCACGGATATGACGTAAGACCACCCCTCCCCCTTCCTCGATGTAATATTTCCAACAAGTTCTATCGACAAACTGGTCAACTTGAATTATTTCTCTAGTATAAAGCGCATGCCATAATTGCATTTTTGTTGGAATTAAAGAAAATGACGTACCTTCTATCGTTCCACCTTCTACCGAAGACTCTCCTACTCGCACGGTCGCATTACGTATATTGGAACGATAGAAGGTATGTCATTTTCTCTAATTCCAACAAAAATGCAATTATGGCATGCGCTTTATACAAAACAATAGTTGACCAGTTTGTCCATATAGATAGAACTTGTTGGAAATATTACATCGAGGAAGGGGGAGGGGTGGTCTTACGTCATATCCGTGACTTTTACTAGGCATTATGGGAAGTGTGAAATTGGTGAATAAACCTTGGCGACAAGACATGGCAATCACTCGAGATCTTTATTTGCAATCAGATACAGATTCATCATATGTACAGATACATATTCATGTTCAGATACATATTCGTGTACAGATATATATTCATGTACAGATATATATTCATGTACAAGCTAATTACATATTCATGTACAGATACAGATACATGTACAGATACAGATTCATGTACAGATACAGATTCATGTACAGATACAGATTCATGTACAGATACAGATTCATGTACAGACATATATTCATGTACAGATACAGATTCATGTACAGATACAGATTCATGTACAGATACAGATTCATGTACAGATACAAATTCATGTACAGATACAGATTCATGTACAGACATACTTTCATGTACAGATACAGATTCATGTACAGATACAGATTCATGTACAGATACAGATTCATGTACAGATACAGATTCATGTACAGATACAGATTCATGTACAGATATACAGATACAGATTGAGTGAGTGATACGCCAGGGTGACGACGGTTGACACGGTGGCCTTCGCGTGGATTTGTTTAAGGTGGATATTATTTAAACAGGTTGCGACAAAACATGATATCACAACCAACCGTTCTTTATCCCTGTATTTAACAGCATCATCTGTCCTTGTAGACTGTCAACACTTGCAATCAAACGCGAGCAGTAGCCTCAACTTTGCTGGATCGCTGACAGTTTCTCTGACGTTTACAACATTTTGTGCATTTTCGGCATGTTGTCCACCGTCAGAGGCTTCTTGTCCCCCCCCCCCAAAAAAAAATCAGGCGAAAATCAATGCACGCATAAAAATTACTTGCTGTGGCCTTATGTAGCAGTGTGGAGTCAGACCACAGTGTCTGAAATCACAGTTGCAGCAGGCATCGTCTCCACATACATTGTACACTACACTTATACTATTTGCTGTACGTACCCTACGTACACTTACACTGTATACACCGAGGCCAACTGAATTGAAACCCTCTTAGGGCAACTACCCTCTCTGGCATGTTATTCACTCCGTGCCAATTTTCCTCAATTTCTACCTTTCACTCAGCCCCTGCCCCAAGACTGGCACTAAAAACACTAACGATTCCTAACGTTAAGGTCGCGGCCTGGGACCTGTCAATCTTCATTAAGCCAATCAGACGGGGCAATTTGTAACGTGGTGATGTACTTATGGTCCTGTTACCTGCTACACCAGTGCAATTTGCCTCAGAGAGGTTCGGGGGGGAAAACATGTACGTCCAATAAACAGGAGGGTTCAACAACCACTATATAGGGTCAGTACCCCATTCTACAAGCAGATATTGGGAGGGAGGATCGTCAATTTTTCTGGTCGCTACACGTCTCTAGCTAATCCTCAAGCAGATCCCTCTCGGTGGCAAAAAGACAGTATCAAATTGGCCAGGCAGTATCCATTAGCCAGAGAAGCTCCGCGGCCACCGACGGTTGGTGGGGGTCAGGACAAAAAAAACGGCCATATATAAAAATGTAACGATCATTCCCCCACAACCTCTGCTTGGAGAGTAGTTTCTAGCCTCTGCCAGGCTTTGGAAGCGGCTGCCAAAGGAGTATTTGCCACCTCCTTTTAATAAACTCCCCTGGCCTGTTATCTGTCTATTTGGCCAATTTCTACTCTTTCCAGCCGCTTTCAAAGCCTGGTATAGAGGCTACACGTTTTGCTTGATATCCGGAAAAGGGCACGGTAATAATTTATTATCATGCATATTACCAGTGAAAAGGGAACCAAAAGGGTAACGAAAAGGTCCAGAAATCCGTAAAACGTGACAGTCAGGCAACCTAGTGAATTAAATAGTCTTAAGTAATAATTGACGAAGTTCAGTTGCTCATGACCAAACCATGTGCATTTTGGATTTCTTGTTTGTAGCGTAATGTTATCAAAGATATGAAGTATATTATATGTAAATATTGTTTCAAAATGTCTTTCTTCTTAAGTATGTGTGAATATTGTACGAGTTGATGCTTAATGACGGGGGTTAAAATCTTCTTTATTTCAATGAATATACAAAATGAAAGTTACTTGGTTAAAGCCTAGGTCAGCCCGTTATCTCTCGCTATATTTATAAGAGGAGGGCGGAAGGCAAGTGAGACGTTAAACGTTATGTGCATCGGACATTTTGGTGTTTCAATTAAAAATCAATTGTATAGTAACTAATATTAAGTCATTTTCTTGAGGCACACTCACAAGCCGAACTCCTTCCGTATCTTCGCCAAGACAGAGGAATCCGCCTTGGGACTCAGTGAGAACCGGTAAACACATGTACATATGTTGAGGCCGCGCCAAGCTCATTGCGAAGCTATGTAAAACACGTGGAGTTGTTTGTACAGGCGGGTTGTACACGTGAAGGTAGAACACACAGGTTACATTCCCAACACCATATTTAGAAGCTCAGGGCCTTGTATTTTCAACACACATGCGTTTGAGGGACATTTTGGCTGCTAAGAGAATGTCATAGGTACATAATAACAACATTGCTTACTTCAACTTGGAAGAAGCATTGCCCCAATGCCATAGGCACTGTGATAAAGAGCAAGGGTTGAACTTGCTACTGGTTGCTAATCTCCAAGCAGATTCTGTGGGGAAGGGGGTCTATATTAGCAGCCAATGGATACAGGCGGCCAATATAGACCCCCCCCCCTGTCACAAAGAATTTGCTTGAAAATTTGATTGTACCGTAATGCTTCACATGTCCAAAAACATGCATACCTGAATATAATGCCATTTTTATTTCTTCCTGTTCTTCATTTTTGCATTCGTTTTTCTTCCTGCTTTGTAAGGTGAGGTAACAATAAAAG